GGTGGTTCGAGCTTCTTTGGTATTTCGCGTTGGCGTCGGTAGGCTAGCCGGAATAGTTTAGTTGGGTCGGTCGGGTCAGTCGCGCGTTCTAGTTTTTTTGGGGGGTTGGGAGGAGCACTTGCATACCGGCAGCCTTTCAGTATCAGCAATGCAGCTTTCTCTCCTGGCCAGCAACTTTACGCCACTTTTACGTCAGCACTATTTTTATCGCCGCCTTCACTACTTTTCTACACCTACTAGTTTACGGTTTGGCTATACTATTCAGCCTTTTTTTTCTGGCGGCTTAGGTAGGTAGGACTTCCAACATCTACGTCAATTCGTCATCCCGAGGTTACAGTCGTCATCCCGAGGTTACAGTCGTCACAGTCGCCACGGACGCCTTTCGGTCAGTTCTTTCGGTTGCTACTATCTTGCTCTGGCAGCAGCTTCAATCGCGTGCGGTTCGTCTTTCCCCACCCCCCCGGGGTGCATGTCCTCTGCGGGGGGAGCTAGTGTATGGGCTGGCCATGGGCTGGGGTTCGGGAGCTGAGTACCTGTTCTGGTTTTGGGGTCCCCTTGGCGCTCATGTTGGTGCTGGTGCTGGTGCTCGGTTAGACATCTGGTTTATCGTCGTCGTCATCATCATCATCATTGTCACCCGCATTACCATCACCATCATCATTGTCATCACCATTGTCATCACCATCACCATCACCATCATCACTATTACCATCACCATTACCGTCATGTGAACGCCGCACCACCATCGCCATTACCGGCCCTCCTGACCGGGGAGGTCTCACCGGCCGAGTGGAGGTCGGGGTCGGGTGGGAGCCGAACGGAGCGGCCTGATCCCCCCCCCACACACGCACACGCAACCCCATTGGGCTCTGGACCTGGTTCCGGACCATTTCTTGTGGCGGATGAAGGATATTCAGCGGATGCGATGTGTTTCTCGGCGCGCTGACGGTGAAGTTCTGCATGTCGTCCTTTTCTCCTCCTACCGCTGCTGGGATTTTCCAGTATCTTTTGTTTTACTCGCAGCAGCACCTGCTAGCTAGCTAGTGTTCCAGGTGCAAACCTAACTTTAGCTTGTATTGTCTGTCTGTGTGCGTGTGTGTGTGCTTGCGTGTGTGTGTGTGTGCGCGCGTGTGTGCGTATGTGTTCCTGCATGGTGCCCTTTTTCCCCCGTTTCCGTTGCGTCCGTTGACATTCCCCTTCCTCCTTCCCGATAACGATATCCGTCTACCTTCTCTGGTACCTGCTCCAATCGTGAGTGGTTTCTCTGACCCCTCCCTTCCCCCCCTCATTCGTGTGGTTCGTCGTCTCCCCCTCAGGCTCCCCGGGACTGTGTGCCGTTGAGGAGGAGGAGTGGGTGCAGCCCGTCAAGAAGGAGGCCGGTGGCAAGAAGAAGAAGGGCAAGGTGGGTGCGGTGGGTGTGTTTGTGTGTGTGTGTGCGGGGGGGCGGGAAGGAGGGGATGAGAACCGTACGAACACACTTGCACATTCGACGCCGTATCGACACCCGCGCATACGACGCCGTACCAACAGGGAGGTGCCAAGGACGGTACCGCCGCCGCCACTGCTGACGGCGCCGCGAGCGGCCCCGCCGCCGCCGCTGACGGCGCCGCCACCGGCGCCGCTGTGGAGCTGGACCCGGAGAAGGCCGCCAAGAAGGTGCGCGGTGTGGCAGTGACCCGGCAGTGGTGCAAAAGGGCATATTTTGGGAGAAAAGACCTGCTCTGCTGCCGCCTGCATGAAGTCATCCTTTTACGGCACTGTGTGCCGTACCGCGCCGTACAGCAAATGGGCAAACAGTGAACAGGGAACACACCGTGAAACAAGCAAGGCATTCCGAATGCAGTCCCTTTCAACACACACGCACACATACGTTCCCCCACATACATATATATATATATATATATATATATATATATATATATATATATATATATATATACATACATACAGACAGACAGACAGACACCGTACTTCTCCCCACTTAGTTCAAATATTCAAACACCCCCGCACCGCACCGCACCCTGAGTGCTGCTCCCCCCCCTGAGGCCTGCATCCGCCTCCCGAGCCACTTCCTGATTTGAATTACCGCTGCTTTGATTTGGGTTTTGATTTTGACTTTGACTTCGACCTGGGTCTTGGTGGTATTGGCGTTTGGTTTCCCTTTGACCACCTTGTTTATTTCGACCCCCTTCCGTTTGGCCTTGGTCCACCTTCAAACCCCCAAAACCTAAATACCCTTCATCCCCCCTCCAGGCCGCCAAGGATGCGGAGAAGGCGGCCAAGCTGGCCAAGTTCGCTGCAAAGCAGGCGGCTGCGGAGGCGGCCAAGGCCGCCAAGGTCACGGGCGGCGCGGACGGCGTGGAGGATAAGAAGGCCAAGGAGAAGGCGGAGGCGGAGGCGAAGAAGGTAAAAACTAGGTTATGAGGATTGCGTGTATGTGTGTATGTGTGTGTTGTAGGAGGGCGTGGGGAGATGGCGGGAAGGGGTTGCGCAGTTGGTGGTGCGGTGGATGGGCGTTGGGGAACCCCTACTCAAGGGAACTTGTTTGTTTTGCATTATATGGCCATCATCATCATCATCATCATCATCATCATCATCATGACCAATGTCAGCACGTGTTATCCCTCGCCCTTTCCATCGCCCTTTCCATCGCCCTTTCCATCGCCCTTTCCATCGCCCTTTCCATCGCCCTTTCTATCGTGGCCCGTCGTGCTCCCGCAACTGTAGAAAGCCGAGGCTGAGGAGGTGGCGGGCCTTATCGCCGCGGCCAAAGCCACACCCAAGGGCGAGAAGAAGCAGGTGCAGGGCGCCATGTACAAGGCCTACCACCCGAAAATGGTGGAGGCGGCGTGGTGGGTGCGGGGGTGTGTGGGCGCGGGGGTGGGGGTATGTGTTCGCGTGTGTGTGCGGGTAAGTGTGTGCGCATGTATTGGCAGTGGTGGCGGCGGCCGTGGCGGTGGTCGTGGGGGTTAGTGGGGAGGCGCCGCAGACTGACGCGGACAGGAGGACGTGTGCGGGCTCGGGTGAACCAAGTGTGTGGGGGGGGAAAGATGGGTTTCCGGGGCTTGTCTGTAACCTTGTAGGTAGGTAGGTTGTCGTCGCTAGCAAATGCTACCGCCCCGCTCGAACCCCAGCCGCCGCCCTGCCGCCACAGCCGCTGCACTCACACTGGTGCTGCCGCCTCCTTCGCCTTCGCCTTCGCCGCTGATACCACCTACCGCCGCTGTTATTGCTTCTGCCGCTGCTGCTGCCACTCCACTCCACGCCTCGGTGGTGCAGGTATGAGTGGTGGGAGCAGTGCGGGTTCTTCAAGCCGGACCTCACCTCCACCAAGCCGCCCTTTGTCATCGTCATCCCGCCGCCCAACGTGACGGGTGCGCTGCACATCGGACACGCGCTGACCAACTCGATCCAGGTGGGCGTGTACGGCTGGATCCAGGCAGGGAAATGCAGATCCGGATCCAGTTTGCTCCTCTCCAGTCGTCACCAGTCCCTGCCCTTCCCCTCCCCGCCCTTCTTCCGTTTGGGGCCTGAGTAAAGACGTCGGCGAGGCGATATTAACCCTCCCTCGCTCCCGGTGCGTTCCTTTCCGCCTCCATCACACACACCCTACACTACTGACCACTGTCCACCCCCTGGTGCCTTTTTTCTCCTCCCGGGCCCCCCCCCGGACAGCCCTGGCAGCAGCTTCACTCGTGTGTGGTTCGTCCTTTCCCCCCCGGACCCGCTTCCCCACACGCAAGCGCCCTAAACTCCCCTAAATCTCCCCCCCACACACACACACATGCACGGACACGCACACGCGCGCAGGACACCATCACCCGGTGGCGGCGCATGAGCGGCTACAACACCCTGTGGGTGCCCGGCACTGACCACGCCGGTATCGCCACTCAGACGGTGGTGGAGAAGAAGCTGCAGAGAGAGAAGGGCGTCACGCGACACGACCTAGGTGGGACGGTGTAGGCGGGTTTCGTGCGTTTGAGGGGGAGGAAAAGGAGGGGGAGATTGCGTTTAGGTGTGTCGGGTGAGCGGGTGAGTGGGGGAATGCGGGACGTGTGGAAATCTGCATTTCACACACACGCACACATACATACGTACACTCGCACTTGGATGGTCCCACAGCTCTGCTCTCCGCAAACCTCCAACCCCGGGGGAAACGTCTTTGTTTTCCCGGTGTGTGTGCTCATGTGTATATGTATGTATGTATGTGGTGGGCTCTCTTGCCGCGAACACGCTCCCAGGTACCGGATGGCCCCTGGCTTGCCGCGTTGCTGGTTGTGGGGCCTGTCAACCTAGAGAACATCCCCTCCACATCTAAACACACACACACACACACTCGTAAATCCCAGTCCCCCCTCCTCCCTTGGTCAGTTCTGCTTTTTGTACATCTGCCGCAGCACTCTTTCCCCACTTGGCATCAGCTTCACACACGCTCACGTGGTTCGTCTTTTCCCCCTTCCTCTCTTCCACACGCCCCCACTCCCTCCCACCCGCGCACCTGCCCAGGCCGCGAGGGCTTCCTCGGCGAGGTGTGGCAGTGGGTCGACCAGTACGGCCACCGCATCCACGACCAGCTGCGCCGACTGGGCTCGTCCGTGGACTGGTCGCGAACCGCCTTCACCATGGACGAGAAACTCAGTGTAGGGCTGCGC